CCTGCGCCCGCTGGGCGGCGGCTCCGCGCTCTCGTCTCCGTCCTCGTGCCTCAGCGTCACCTGCGAAGGAGAGGAGGAAAGGCTGCTGACGCGGCTCCTGCAGGCACCACCGGCCCTCACGCCCAGGCTTTAAAAATTAACTGATCTCAACAGGATTCACTCTTACTAGCATTCCTATAGCTAGCCCTGCATGTTGCTGACTGTCCATTCGCATTCATACGGCTATCTTCTTGTTGCCATCAGTCTCGCTATTCTGGTAATTCTTACCAGATATGACTTCAACAAAACAAGGCAGGGATAAGTGTGATAACTCTGCTTAGGGTACAAAATCTGTTCCAGTTGGGAAGAAGAGATTCTTCAGATAAAGAACAGCACTGGCACCAAAAAGAAAGAATATGCATAGGCCCGTCTAAATTTAGTCAGGTCATCAAGAGAAGGCTGGTACGCAACTAAGGCAACTGCTAATTTTGCAATTAAGTATTTCAGTTGGTGCAGCACGCTAAAACGCCCTGCTTTTAAGATTAACAATTGTATTTTTAAAAGCATTGTATGAGCTGATGCCTCTGACAATAGCAAAAGACAGAAGAATGTGGAGCCCTGCCATTCGCAGCATCCTATTTCGGCCTGACTCTTCCTGCAAACTGCTACATATAAAACTTAATTCTGTGGAAGTCAGTGAAGTGACATGGGTGCAGAGTTGATAAAGAAAATGGAGAATCAAATCTAGCAAATCCATTGCTGGACTTAGCCAAAGATAAAGTTGTTTCATTTCATCACACCAGAACATGAATTCACGTTTACATTACATTAACTTAATCCAAAACCTCCCCAAGTCCAGCAATTCTCAAAGTCTGAAAAGAGGCTAATTATTAAGAAATTGCATATCCTACCCTTATACATAAATACTTCACAAGTAGTAATGTTATACCTAGGTGGTGAATGTGGAGTCACTCCTTACTCCACTGCTGTGAACTGTGCACTGGTCCGGTGTAAATTCATAAACAGGGACTTTCTGGGTATTCGGCTGCAGAGCAAGTGGAATTTCTGAATTTGAGTTCAGCTGAACCTTTTTCATGAGCCGAATACTTCTGCATATGGAAAGAACTTCTACTTACTTCAGGATATGTAACTTACAGTCTAAGAAGTTTTAATTGCAGGCAGAACGGTCTCTAAGGAGGCTAGTAAATGTGCTGGTTTGCTTTGGAGTATGCCCCAGCTTTGGTATGAAATCCATTTGCGAGAAATGCAGCCATGTGCCACAGCAGGTCACTTATATGATGGCGTATAATACTTCTAGCAACCAGATGTTTCTCTTTTAAAATAAAATAGATAACCAAATTTCACCTAGGTTACATTCCCCTCCTCCTCTCGGCTTTGAAGTCTGCACAAGCTGTAAGATGCATAAAACAGGACATGTTATGTTACCTCATAAATGTTAAATTGCTCCACTAAGTCCAAGTCTGTTCCTTTCTTGTTCAAGTGTCTCTGTGAAATAGCTTCAATGCCTAGCTCTTCCAGACAGTCCACCACGTCGTAGAAGGAGTCTTGATCTGGCAACCCCAACAGCGTCTAAGAATCAAAGGAAAAATATTTAAATCTGTTTGTTTTGAAAAGAATTAAACAAAGGTTTTTAAAAGCAGGTGGCAAGTGGTGCTATGTATGATTTCAATAAAGTAAAACCCATAACGTGGGATTAGAGACACCGCTAGAAAATAAAAAACAAGTGTCACAGCTTTTAACAAACAACTCTGTGCCCTATGTAGAAAAATGAATAATTGGCAAAACAAATCAATGTTGTTATTTCATACAAAGAAGTATGGAAAAAGTGGGTCTTTAAATACACAGTTGGATTCTTTCTGGCTTCATTCAAGTACAGATTTAAAGAACTGTGAATGTTACAGCATCAAACACAGGGATGAAAGCAAAGAGAGAGGAAAAAAAATGGTTTGGCTAAAACTAGTGAAGCTGATTTCCTACTGATTTCTGTAAGTTAGGCCTTTAGGAGAAAAAGTCCAATGCACAGCTGTGTGAAGTCAGGACAGCAGGAAATATCCTGCACTATGTGCCTACTGTCCTCCACACCTGCAGCAGAGGTCAATCTCCCAGTGCACAGATTGTTTTATATGTCACAGATATTGGCTCCTCTCTTCCCTTTCTCCCTTTCAACTTCAAAAGTCTTAAAAAAGGTTCACTCCTTAACTCCTATAAAATGTTAAAAGAGTAACTAATTCCTGATTGTGGGATAAGTTGTTACCAGTGACACTGGACAGGAGCTTTTGCAGACTAGAAAAAAAAGAATGACAATAATAACAGCTATTGAAAATTACCTGTTTGAGTTCTGGACTTTCTATGGCACCTGCTCGATAGCCAAGAGACAGCACTTTTCTTACCACTTCCTATTTTTTTTGTGAATTCAGAAGACAGAGAAAAGGATGGAGGTCTTTCACAGTATACCATGTATACCATAGCTTGCCAATGCAGTGTATGCAGCAGGAGGGACTGAATCAAGCAACTTAAAGCTTTATTGTAGAGAGATGCATGGGAAGAGGACATGAGCACTGGACAACTTTGCTCAGAGCACAAGTGAACTTCACCCACCAGAGTCCTGCAGACATCCACAGAGGTAACAGAAAACACTACTATTCTGGCTTGCCACTGATTTCTACCCAGCTCGTGCTGACTTTTTACTGCTCCTTATGGATGATGCAGGAACATGACCGTAATCCTGTGCACGTGGAGCAGAAGCTGCTGAACATACTGTCCAGCCTACTTGCAGAGGAACACACCCCTCATCATAAGAATCAGTCTATACAGAGCTGTTTCTACTACATACCTGAGTGCAGACTGGAAGCAACACAGTTATTCTGGATTAGCTCACCAGAGAGACACTTACTCTGAAATAGTTTTCTCTCTCCTATTTAATTAGCTAAGAAACTTATCTATACTCCTAGCAGAGGTGAAAAAGAGCAAGAGATGAAGACAGCACATGCAAAAGGCCCTCTCCAGAAAGTTTCATCTTCTCATGCACTCTGAGAATACTGGTTTTTCAGAGCCTGGCTTTTCCAAAATGGCTCTGAGCATGCAAGTGCAGAAGAGAGCAGCCACTCTGGGGTGCATCCCTACGCCCAGCAGCTTTACACTCAGGAAAACTGGTCTGAATTATGTGACTAAAAAGAGAGAGGAATAGAGACCTCACATATTCTGCCTTGTTGAAGCACCTCCTTTCGATGAAATAAAGCACTGGAAAAAAAAAGCCATTGAGGTATTTTTAATTTTTTTTTTTCTTTATTTTTAACCAAACATAACATGGCAACATTTTCTTATTCAGTCACTTACAGGACTATTGTTTGATGTCTCATGAGGTCCACTGCAACAGGGATGTTTAGCACAAAAAGTAATGAACTTTGAGGGCTGTATGTTCAGGGTTACACATTCAGGCTCCAACTAAGAATTTATCTCTGCCCAGGACAGTATATAAGCCTCTGTTTAAAATCCACTGAAGATCATGAAACAAACTTTTTCCAAACAGTGTTGAAAATGGATACCACGCACATTTTGTTCCTTCCTAAACTGGTGCTCAGCATTGAGTAAAAAATTGAGAATTCAGTAAATGAAGATATAAATTCACTGTAAATTCAATGGAGCTTTAACAAGGATATGGAAATATTATAACATAAAATGATGTTTGATTATCAGGCTTACTTTTGCTTATGGAAGAAGTAGACAGCAACTACACTGACCTGAGTGTCTTCATGCACATTAAGATGTGATGTCTCATGTACAAAAAAGTAAACAAAAAAAATCAGACTAAGCATTTGCTTCCTAAAATATCAGAAAATGGTCTTAATGTTGATATGCAGATAACCCACACTCAAGTATAGCTTTTTTAAACTCGGAGGTGAGGCAGGCTGTAGACAGGGAAAACAGCATCACAAGGCAGTACTTACGAGCCACCTTGCTTTTGTCAGTAGCCTTTTATTGGTTAATATAATTTCAGATCATGCAGCAATGGAAATTCCATTTTTACTGCATGCTACCAGCCAGAACTGGGCAATTGAATGCTGAAGTACAGAAATTAAATATTTTTCCTCTGTTTAATGACAGTTTGTCATTAAACTCACAGATCCATTTTCAGATCCTAATGCATATAAAATTAAATTTCTAACATTACAAAATGAGATGCAAAAGGGCGCCACTGGTGTCACAACAAGGTCAGCTCAGTGTAGAACAGGAGAAAGATTTTTGCAGCAAGTAAACACAAGGGACACAAAGTACTTTCATAAATGAATGCTTAATTCTGAGTTGTGATATTAGAAAACAAGAGTGGGCCCCCATTGTCTTAGTGGTTTCATAAAAGAAACAAAAGCTGCAAACAGCAAAGCAGAGGCTGTAAATCGGGCAGGTCCTTTCAAGGTCCTTGCTCCCTCCCAAGTACCTAGTTAGGCTGAAAATGATAATCCAGTATTAAAATACACATACAAGTCCCAAATAGTTCCTCCTGCTCCGAACACTGAATTGTACAAAGTGAAAACCTGTCTAGAGAATTAAAATTTAGCCACTTGGAGAAGCATGTTTAAACCATACTCTGTCATTTGCTTGCTGAATTTTGTTACAGTCTCGCTGCTCAAACGAAAGCTGGGTTTTTAAATCTGAAACTCTTCAGAACTCAGGTGTACAAAGAAAGCATGAACATGAATATCAAGACTCATTCCTATGCCTCTATCCAGTTTTGGTTTGAGGAAACACCCCTGAATTAAGATTTGTATTTGTTAGTTGTGTGATTTTCCCAAATGCTTTCCCAAGCCCTTGCAGGAAAGCCAGTGCAGCTTTGAGTTTTTCCCTCTCAAGCATCTTCCCTCTCAAGCTTTTGGAATGGTGAACTAAATTAAAACCAAAACCCCAGCCTGAGAGTTTTGAGCTTGATATATCTTCTTAACAACATTTTTAGCAAAGTCTAAACAATGCATTTTACCTACCACGAGCTCTAACAATCCTGATAGAGAGGTAAGGAAATGAATGAAGTTTTATCGGGGGAAAAAAAAGTTTTATGGGAATGTAACAGCCAAATGTTTTACTAGATAATAAAACCTATTAGACAACATACTCAACTGGTCATAGCACAATAGTCTTATCACTACATAGCCTTAGTTATGTTTCTGAACAAAACCTGACATAAATCAGCGCTAGGCTATGCCTGGCTTCAGACTGAAAGTTTCTCTTTATTTGTAGTTTTTAAAAAGCATAGCCCTGGATGATACTAGCTAGCAAAACTAGCATGTATGGTGCCTTGTGTTATGTACAGAACAATCACAGTATAAAGCAGTGAGGCAGAGAGGACACAGGCAACAGAAAGTCCATTTGATGTGCAATGCCACACACGCAAGTCCAACCAATACAAGAGAATTGCTCTGGTTAGGCAACATCCAACAGACTGAACTTCACAAGAGGGCCCATGCACTAGACAGAGGGACATAAGCTAGACCTTTCATGCTATGGTGAGAAGCACTATATGGTAAATAACACATTACAGGGCACTAGCTAAGTTTTCAATTGCTTTGGGCTAGGAAGAAGCCAGCTGCCATGCTAACACCACATTGGCATGAAACAGCATTTTTTCAACTGCAGATGATGGACTGCTGGTGGGTGGTCCTCTAGGCTCCCACCAGTAGCCACTGGTGTGGAAAGTGGTGCTTAAATTCTAGTCTTATACTGGACCTGCTGAAAAACATTCGGTGCTTAAACTGACTATTCTAAGGTATCTTAATTTTTCTCTACCTTGTAATTATTTTACCTATTTTTTTTAAAAAAAATGTATGGTATGAGAGAATAAGCAAAATTAAATACAACTAAAAAGAAAATCAACAGCAATCTTCTAAGTACAAAGCTTCCAGTGTAATTGCAATAACGAGGAGGGTTTATAGCAGTTAATTAGAAAGTTAATTAAGCACAACAGAGAATTTTCTTTCTGTATTTGATAAGTAGGCTGGCTTTTTTTTTTCCTATACAAAGCAAATACAGAGGCTTTAATCCATCTGGAGTTCAGTAATAAAAATGAAGTAAGTAGAGCTTAGAATAAGATCTAACAGATCATAGGAAGCAACCAAAGGAAGATAACAAAGCTTATACCGGAAGTATCTGCATTGACATCAGTCTCGTTTAAGAGAGTCATTAATGCCTAAATCCCTCCAAATTGAGAGGGTTAATGAAAAGTTAGTGTAAGTAAACTGGTTATGCATCAACAAAAGAGAGGAAGAGGATAAAAGGATTGGAGCAATTCTTAGATCTGGGCAGATGTGTTTTCTGCTCTTGAGCAGGAAGGAAAAGAGTCTCTAAATGTATACATGGATAAAGAAAAAGGAACAGAAGTATGCTTCCTTAAGAGAAATCCCTCATGAGGACTCTGCCTGCACTGAAAACTTGGACACTTCCTTGCCTAGAGAAGCTGAAACCATCTGAGGCTTCTCTGTATTCTCTGTGGGGGAAAAAAATTACAACTGTGACATGCTGCTTGCTGTTTGCTCTATAATCACAAAAAAAATCCCATTAAAAACATCATAAAGCTGTCCATAAGCCAACTCATAATTATAAGTGTGGCACTGTGGGATTCCTCCCTTCCTTGATCTTCATAACTGCCTTGTTCCTTTGACTGCAAGATGCTTTTTCTTTTTGTGTGTTTTTAAAGAACTACCTCCTCCTAAAATAACTTTATTTGTAGTGAAAAACTCAGACTAAGGGAATCAACGATAGGATAACATAGCGTCAAGACAGAACAAAATTTCTGAAGAAGCCAAACACCAGGTAGATTACAACTGTGCAAATGATGAACCGAATTATTTCAGAAAGAGAAATCTGTACACAAAACAATGAGGAATAAGACAGAGACATTAAAAACTAGTCACCTTGGCTTTAGTAGCAGCTACAGACAGAAATAAAACTGGTGATGTCTTTCAGAAAGAGGACATCAATAAGATAAGGTGGTCTTTTAAAGTCAAGAGGAACCTTGCTGCCATGTGAGCAGGAGCAGGGGTGGCTCTAAGTAAGAGCTCAGTACCATCAGTGATGTTACCTGGAGAGGTTAGACCCTCTCAGGCATCTTTGATGGACAGTATCTGCCACTGAGAAATCATTTCATTAAAAAAAAGCAAAGCAACCCACGGCCCCAGGTGTGTAGCCATGAGCCCAATGAGCTGGCAGCTTGATTTATGACCAGCCTGGAATAAACTCAGGACCTGTAAATTAATATAATGACTAATAATAATATTCCATAGTACTCTGGCCAATTAAGTATAATCATAAAGCACATGGTTATTTTGATTTTCTAATAGTTATAATGACCTTCTGTGCTTTTTGGAAAAAAATCCATTTTTAATTTTAGTCATCCTAAGTTTTGTCTAGGACTAGACACTATTTTTTTAATGAATTTACACTAAAAAATTTCTAAATTCTGCAGGCCTTTCACTTTCTCCCTCCTCATAGCACAAGTACTTCAGATAACACTTGATTTTACTGCAAAACTACTACTTGCAATACAGGACACAGAAACTATAAAGAAAGAAGCAAAAAATACAACTTTTTATTTTTAAGCAGAAACACTCTTACTAGTACTCAGACATGTTAAATTCATCATATTTCATTTGCAGTAAAAAAAAAAAAACTAAACCAACTGAACTAGAAAACTGTGCACAATGTAAGCTTTTGTGAGCAAGTGATCTTTTCACCAGCACTTGCTTTCTCTCTCCCCTTGGATAACGGGTTGAGAGAGTTTGTTGAGTTTTGTTTTGCACTGCGTCACCAGCCCTGGGAGAGGAGCCATGTCATAACACATTCCCACACAGATGTAGCAAAACAGCAATTCTGCTCCCATCCTGCCTCTGGGTGACTGCAACACAGGTAACAACAGCGTGCTGATTGCTTACAGCTTGTCCTGCAATGTCTCCGGGACAGGTCTCCTTTGTCATATATTCTCAACAGTGAAGGTGGGTACATAACTGCAAATACTACCAGTATCTCCACCAGTTATGCTAACAAAGTATACTAACCTTGTTAACCAAGGTCATTGCGTAAACCAGTAGCTCAGTATCAACCCCATCCTTCTCCTCCAGGATCTCCATGATGTTAGACCATGGCTTGGCTCCTAGAAGAAAAGGAGAAACCATTGGCAGAGATGATTAAAATGGAAAGCTATAGCATCAACAGTTATCCAAGAAGTAGCACAAGTTGGAGTATATGGCCCATGTGGAATATGAAGCTGAAAGGTTCAGCTTCCTCTACAGTCTCCCCTCCTTCACAGAGGGTGAAGTTAGTGCACACCATGAAAGCTGCAGGGCATCCTAATGCAAGGATCTAAAATACGCCAGGTGGTCTTTCCCCAAAGGTACTGATTTCTCTCCCTTGATGATCAAGGAAACTTTGTTAACCTAGACTGATTGACAGAGAATTTCTAAAAATCAGGTGGGAGGAATTTTACCCTGCCAATCATAGGTTCACATAGGCTTAGATCAATCTTCAAAAACCTGTGTGCTATGCTTTCAATGCACCTGTTACTCACATTCCTAGTACTTACTAGTGAGTTACGCTGCATTAAGGTAAGTCCTGCTACCAAAACAGTGTGTCAGAGTAACACAGTTTTCTCAATTTACAAGCTGCCTCAGATAAAAGAAATCCTCAATGAGGAGAAAAGATTTTTACTGTCAATAATACTCAAATTATTTCACTAAGAATCTCCTCTATAGAACTTTCAGATAACTTTCTCATGTATTTTTACTGAGGTCAAAATTTGTCCTTCTAGTTACGATGTATTTCCTTGACTTGCACGCTGATTTGCATTTGCATGGTTATCTGATCCCTAAATCCAAGTGGCTTAGTGAGTCATTGTGTCAAAAATGTCAGACAGACAATGCCAGTCAGACTCCAGATAACCTCTTGGAAGATACCTTGTAAACCTTTCCATCCTATTTCATTTGGCTAACAGGAAGATGGTTGCATTTACTAAATTAAACAAATAAACGTACGTAACTATTTTATCAAGGAAACTGAAGAAGCAGTGTTTTGTTTGGAGTAAAATTAAAGGTGAGGAGGACAAAGCAGAAAGCCAAACCTAACCTAGAGATACTCAATTCAACTACACAACCATAAATGTGAGTCTCCATTTCAGAAGGAAATGGGCAGTGTATTCCAACAGCCCACATCCCTAAACACTATAGGGATGAAGATAATTTGAGTATAATCAGGCAGTAAAATGCAAACATTTCATCTCAACCACTTGTTGCTGACTGATCAGTGACCTCAAGGCTAAAATTCTTACAGTGGTAAGGATCCTTCCTTATTCATGCTGATACTATGTATATATCCTGGTGCAGAGACATTGAATCTCTGCTAACCAAGGATCTCTGTTTTCAGATGGGCAGTGGCAGTGCACTCTGTGGAAAAACCTGCCTACTAATGAACACAGGGACAGCAGCGTTTCTGCTTTCTCTCCCGCTCTTTTTGAGAGAGTCTGATCTTTACTACTGAATAATAAATCAGAGCTTTCTTATCTCGAGCAAAATCAAAGGAGGGAGGGCATCCAATCTCAGCTCTGCAGACGTATTCATGTGCATTACTAATTAAATACTAATTCAAATACATGGTTGTAAGGAAAATACAGTAGACACCTCATTACCAGATTCTCTATATTACCAGACATTTTGTGCAGTACATGTTCAAAAGACATGTGGAACAAATTCACTTGGCTCACAAATGATATATGATCATCAGGAATGATATCCTCAGTACAAAAATGTCTTCCTGTGGTTTCCAGTGAAAAATAAAAATGGAAGAAAATAAGAAAGAGAAACAAAAAGAGGAAACTATGCAAGTCTGATTTACAACATTACCATAAAATATTAATTACTTAAATCCACTGAATTATTCAGTGAGACTCCTTCTAGGGAAACATGACTTTTATTACACAGGCAGGTTTTATTCTTATTGGAACGATCCTAGTTTGTATTTTAAAGATAGTATCTCCGTGTTTGACTTTTTTACCTGAATATCTTTGATAACTTTGCTATCATCATAAAATAATATCGTCAGGATTATCTTGCTGTTTTCCTGCAAGGATTATATATAATTTTATTCTACCCATGCTGCTTCTGTATTTCAGAATACAATTTTTAAAAATTGTTCATCAGGCACACTTAATAGTAAGGCAGCCTGTAACAGCTCATGTGTCTTTCAAAGGCTTTACTGAAGTTGCAGCTACTAAACCTGGGCAATTTCCAAAATCTAGTCTTAAATTTGAAATGCTTCATCTATTCACTTACTAAAAACAAGAGGAGGCAGTACCATCAATTGTTTTGACAGAACAACTCCAATTTCTACAAGAGTAAACCCTTCTTTTCAAATGCTATTTTCCTCATTTTGATCTCAAGCTGAACAGCTAAAAAGTGAACATGGAAGTAGCCCTAAGGCTGTCTACCCCCTGGGGACAAGACAGTTCTGGTGTGGAAGTTGCGCCATGAACTTACTGCATTACTATACTTTGGTCAATGTCCATTGCTAACACATAAGGACGATCTATAGTTTCCAACCAATGATCTGGACAGCATGGGATACAGGCAGATCTGCTCTCATCCACTCTCACACCCTTAGCTTAGATTTCCAAATAATGCTGTTCCTGAAGAGTCACCACTTATAAAGATGAGACCACATGCTGGACACATCAAAACATCAGGGCAATATTTCTGTAATGATAGAACCACAGTGAAAAATCTTCTTTCAAGCTACATAGAAAAAGCTTTGTGAAAGACACTATGGACACCATACACTAAAAAAATGTTGACATTTCTAAACTCACTGTCTGCAATGATGCTCATATAACAGATATGACAAACATGATGTAAATTTTCGCTTTTCCTTGAAAAGGCTTTTTGTATTGTGAGGCATATTAAAAGCTCTCCGTTTATAGGTGGATAGGAACCTTTGAGGAAACTATTACACAGAGCTTTTTTGTGTAACATTCGGAATATACCACACCCTGAAAAACCTAAACTCAAATCTAGGTTTGGCAACGCATATGTATTTCTAGTAAAAAATGTAAATCCATTTAATATTTGTATATTATGGAGTTTTTTTTTTTAAAAATAGTAAGTAAAATCATTTATGTTTGTCAGTTCTCAAACAGGTTTACTTTCCTGCCCAACTCCTCCACCTGATTGTGATGAAGAAGAATGATGATATGAAAGAAAGATGACGTTGCATTCCAGCGATTCTTCTGGAAGCAGCCTGGGACATTCCCATACGGTTATGAATTCCAAGCAGGACTCGTGGCAAAATAGATGGGAGGGATGAAACAGGCTCACTGAAGTAAAACAGCTGAGGCTGAGCTTTGTGTGTGTTCTCCTGCCTTCTAATGGGTAAAATGAGAACTGCTCGACTGCCTTTCAGAGGCTTCTTGCTGGTCACAGCTCATTATTTTGGCTACTGTGACAGAAAGGCTGGAGCCTGAACCCTGATGCTACTTACAGCACTCTGAGTAGCCACCCATGGTGCATAAACATGCAGAGAACTATGAGGCCACAACAATTAAGCCTATATGAAATTCATAAAGCCTATTTATTGAATAAAGTTTCCTATCATTTTACAGCTCAGTCTTTTCTCAGCTTCCCCTTTAGATGTTTTTATGTATTTAATTTAATGCTGTCATTCATGTCTTACACAAAATCTTGAGATCACAACTACATGGGATGTGCACAGTGTGTATAAAGCATGAAGAACCTTGCATCAGGCCATACATGAAGACTGTCACCAACTTACAGAGTATCTGTCTTTAGTAGCCATAGGATGGAAAGGTAGAAATACTACTGGAAAGGCATGAATATATTGTACTCCTGGATATTTAAAAATGTGAACATCAAAGTTCGCATAGCTCAAAGCCAAGCAGCCCCAGGCAGCAGGAGTGCAAGGCCAGTTCCACTTTTCAGAGCTCCCACAGCCCCAGGTATGCTTAAACTGACAAAAGATAAAATTCCTTTGGGGCTCTGAAAAAAGAAAGGCCAGAAAGAGGGGGGTGGGCTAGACAGAAGTATAATTAGAAGCTTCTTCCTATATGATGAGAGTCATGCAATTATTCACTTACAGTCTGCTTGTATCTGAGAGTTAAGGCTGCAAATGAGCCAGCAGTGTGCACTGGCAGCCCAGAAAGCCAACCAGATCCTGGGCTGCATCAAGAGAAGTGTGGCCAGCAGGTCGAGGGAGGTGATTCTCCCCCTCTACTCTGCTCTGGTGAGACCCCACCTGGAGTACTGCATCCAGTTCTGGAGCCCCCATTACAAGAGGGACGTGGACCTGCTGGAGCGTGTCCAGAGAAGGGCCACGAGAATGATCCGAGGGCTGGAGCAGCTCTCCTAGGAGGACAGACTGAGAGAGTTGGGGCTGTTCAGTCTGGAGAAGAGAAGGCTCCGAGGGGACCTTATTGTGGCCTTCCAGTATCTTAGGGGGGCCTACAAGTAAGCTGGGGAGGGACTTTTTAGGATATCATCAGGTAATGACAGGACTAGGGGGAATGGGGCAAAGTTTCAAGTGAGTAGATTCAGACTGGACATGAGGAAGAAGTTCTTCCCCCTGAGAGTGGTGAGACCCTGGAATGGGGTGCCCAGGATGGTGGTTGAGGCCCCATCCCTGGGGGTCTTTAAGGCCAGGCTGGCTGAGGCTCTGGGCAGCCTGATCTAGTGGGAGGTGTCCCTGCTCATGGCAGAGGGGTTGGAACTGGGGGATCCTTGTGGTCCCCTCCAACCCTGACAGATTCTGATCTGTTTTAGCAGAGGACTTAGTAGTGTTGGCTTAATGGTTGGACTTGATGATCTTAAAGGTCTCTTCCAACCTAAAGGAATCTATGATTCTGTGGATCTCTGTACTGCAGTTTACATATGGATCTATTCTCACATGGAAGCCACAGGTGGGATTGCTTTGAAACCAAGCTGAGTTAATATGGGGGTCCTTCATGTTCATCATGTGTGGTACATATGTGGAGGAATTATGTCATATCTCATCACCTTGTACATACATGAAACGCTGGAATTCTTTCAAAGCAGTGCTAAACTTAATTATATACCTGCAAGACTTAAGATGTTTCAAGTTTCATGCTTTCTTCCTCTATATTTCTGTTCCATTAAATCTGTCATTAAAGGCAGGTATTCCTCAGCTGTAAGCCACTAATTTCAAAACATCAATTAAAATGTAGCACATCTACAGCTAAAAGTGAAGGGCTATTACACTGATGACCTAAAAAAAAAGAACTGCATTAAAAACAGGGTAAAAAAAACCCTTCTCTTGTAGAAAAGCACAGCGGCTTAATAATAATTAAAAAAAAAAAAAAAGAAAGAAAGAAAAATGGATATTTGGGGCTAAGTCATTTGCAAACAATTTGCAATCTGCCAACCCACAGGTATGAGAATTCCCATAAACCCGCTCCTCATGGTGCTAACATGTATCCATCTAACTAGACCCATAACTTTTTTTTCACAAGTTTTATGTTCTTACTTCAGTTGTTTTATTACTTCAGGGCATGTAAATGTTTACCAAAAGCTGTTCTCACAGATACAGAAAGAAATACAGAGTGCATGGTAGTGTGTTTAGGGTCCTCTCTCCTTCTCTTTTTTTGTTAATGAGATTTAGTAGCATGTGAACAGATGGCAATTTGAACATGTTGAGAATACCAGTGAGTTCGGAGAGCTGAGGAAATACTAGGAATGACTATAAAAATAAATCATTGCACTTACAATTACATGAGTATTGTAATCATGTTTCTGCTTATGGCATTGTAACTTTTATCGGTTTTAATTCAAAACAGAAAGCCAACCTGAAGCATCCACCAGTTAAAGTGTTACACTGTTTTTGAAATGCCCCTGCCTGCTCCCCTGCCATAAGAGACAATTCAGGGATTTTTTTGGTCTTTTCAACCCACTCATTCTGACATCTGAAAGCAAAATCTGGCTACTTTCTCCTAGTTCTGGCACCACCTTTTTCCCCATCCCCCAACTTTTTTTGTTTCACTTTTACCATATCAAGTTACTCAAACAAGTTCAGCATGGAGGCAGTTGCTCCACAGAGGGGATCTTGCTTTCAACCTCCATGTGTTTGAGACCACAACAATGGCTCTCTCAACCTCAAAAACTCTCCTTGAGGCAAAGGAATGTTTTGCATCAAGAGAGAATGCCCTGAGAGCTTAGCAATGGCTTTGTGGGAAGAACAAGAAAGAACCATTTCTGTTCTATTTATTTGCAAAAAATACAGCATACATATTCAAGTATTTTTCATGAGCCTGAAGGGTAACAGATTTCATAGTATACTATCTGCTCAAGGGCTTTATTTTAATGTAACAACAGATGGTTTTGCTTTTACTATAAAGCCTGTACTATCACTGACCTCGTATTTCTCTTCAAAAGGATTACACTGATTAGATATCATTTTTCTCTTCTAAATCAGGCTGCTGCTTCTCAGAAGGAAGTGGAAATACAGCCTGGCCCAAAGGAGCCCGCAAGGTCAGAAGATGCAGTAGGGCTTTACTTTGGCAGATGGGTGCAAGGAAGGGGCAATGACTGCAGTGCCCAGGGAGGAAGCTGAGTTCCTCAGCTTTTCGCTCTTCATTTTCCTAATACAATTCATTCCTCAAGACAGTCTTAAAATTCATGAATACTTAAAACATGCTTTTCATCAAGAAATGAAGGCTATTTGCACACGGTGGGCATCAGACAGCAAGGCTAGAACCACTGAAATCAGTGATGAAACGCCACCCTGACCTCAGCGGTGCTGGGATTTGCACCCCCCAGGTAAGGCTACTCACCTCTCTTTTCATCAACAGTGGACACTGCCTGGATTAGAAGCGGCGCGTTGGATTCAGCATACTCCACGAAGACGAGCAGCAGCTTCAGGGCTGTCTTTACCACCAGGCGGAACTGAAAGAAAAGAGTGTGACTTGTCATTCAGATGTGCTAAATGACACTGGGCTAGACACAAGCACCACAATCCAGACCTGGTAAGCATGCATGAACAGAAGAGATTAAGGTGTGTCAGGACCAAAGTAATGAAAGGTAGCTGGTGGCTGAAAATTTCAGTCACCAAACAGTGCTCCCCTAGGGAAGTCTCAAGAGTCAATGAATCCACATAAAAGCTTAATGCTGCTATGTGTACTAAAGGGTTGAATGTTCCACCCCGGTGTGCACCTATACACATCCCCAACACTGCTGACCAAGTGTGATGTACAGAGAACCTACTGAGCTAAGAACACAGATATTCCTCTATTTCTCAGCACATTTATTTCCCCCTTTCCCTGTGAGCTTTTAATGCTGTCGAACTGGTGCATGGTAGGATGATTTTCTTCTCATGCTTTCTTAATTTCTTATAATGTTAATATTTAATGCTTAGACTATTAAACAGATCATTGAACACAATTTCAGAGATAGTGTATTTAATGTCTGACTATCCCACCCTCTTACAAAATGTGTGATTTACCGGAACCTAACATTCTGCCTGGAAGTTTTCAAACTCAGCTTTTTGTACATCCCCAGTAGTGTGAGTTCAGGGAAGACTCAACATGGTAAAATGGACCTACTGGAAATCAATAGCCAGACTCTTATCGGTTTCATCACAGATTACCCATTTCTGAGGGCATCATTTGACAATTAGCTAATTTTCAAAGCACTGAATAACATTTTTTAAGGACTTGCTTGACATAATCCAGTATGTGAAAAATCAAATTTTTATTAAGGGAATATTGGAATTTTTTTAATAAAAGAAGATGTGAAAGATGAAGACTTTAATAGGCAATGCAATACAGGCCCAGCTGGGAAGCCTTTTACTAGAAGAATGGATTCTAGGTCAAATCTGCTATATCCTCCATCTAAAGCATAGAAGTAAAGCCACATAAAAGGTGATACACTGTTGGTCCCAGAAACACAATTTTCAACTTACTAAGATTGAATCAAGCTTCAGAAAAGCAGGTATTGGTAAGCTGATGGTATTCTTCTGCTGCCTTGTTCTGCAACAGATCTATTCAACAACGTGTAAGGTTTTTAATGAGACAGCTACAGTAATGTGGTCACTACTTTCTCCTTTGCCATTGACAAATTTTTAAATTCTGTTCCTGTAGCGATAAGCCATGCTCCAGAAAATCCCTATTTTCTGCCTCATTACCTTAAGTTGGTAGACACTCCGACATACAGTCATGAAAATGTCTCACCCAGGAGGAAAAAATAAAGTAAAACTTATCATACTGTATTGCTAAACTGTTTCAGGAATATATATATGTCGTTTCTGTTAGTATTTCATTCCCATTCCCTTATTTTTTCAAGCCCTCTCAGCACAACTCTTCTAAGAGGCAAATAATCACTATTAATCATTTCCCAGATGTACTCAAAGGCAGTGACTGTGTCTCTTCTAAAAAAGACTGCAACAGGCACAGGCCCAAGCCACTGCACTCACACTGCCACTGACAGAGCTGTACTAGAGCTCTCTTCAAGATAACGAGTGAAAATGCAGCTTGCTGCTACAGTCTAGTGACCCGGGTATTTCCCCAGCTTCTTGGGTTTTACCCACTTGTGCTGAACTGAGCTTAATGCACTGCAATGATACCACTAACAACGCACAATGTTCTGGTGTTGAATCTAGGCTCTTTTAGCCTTGATGTTATCATCAAATCAGTTACTTTCAAGGCTGACAGCCAGGAAATCCCAGTGACAGTCTTGACCAGGTCCCTTAAGATACTCAGCCTGATCTGCAGTTGTACTGCTGCAGTGATGCTTCACGGATAAATGGGGTAGTCGTATTAAAGGAAATTTAAATCTGATTACATACCAACAAATCACTTTCCCACAACTGCACTGGCCATCTGTGTATTTGCCTGTCAGGTCAATATCACAGTTTCTGCTCCTCAATGACACTTCTCTTAGCAATTGAAACCAATTGTTTCATAGACTTACTACAAGAATTTCTGACTAGTCTCCACTTATTTTGTAAAGCTGCTTTGTAAAATAGGAGTTACCAGATTACTGTAAACAATTCCAGCATTATAACATACTTCCCAGATAAGCACTTGGGTGCTGCGTCCTAACGTGATCAGAATTCCTTCCCTAGGGAGGAAATCCTAGATATTACTTTTGACAGTTCTCAAAACCTTAAAGCTTGGCCACTTGGTGACAACAGGATGCATTTACAAATAAGCACCCCATGGCAAAGTTTCCATGCATTTCCACTTGACAGAAATCAGCGTGGGACATGCTGGGTTTCTGTCTATTTTTGCAAATCTCTTTTTCTTCCAGAAAGAAGGACCTTTTGCAATACCTTTGGCTCTAACCATTGGCCGCTGGCCATGGCAGGTGCTGTACTAAGGAGCTATTACATTTTGGACCCGCCATGCTGCAAATCCTGTGAAGCCTCATGGCAGCCCACTGCAGTTGCACCAGACCAGTACTCAAGCTGGATGATTATTCAGGTGCTATCTGCAGGTGTCAACCTCCTGTGCTTAACAAGCTAACAGATGACAGCATAAGGAATAAACACCACCCAGAAGCAGTCCCAGAGAAAAGGAGTGATTAGTGAAGCCACATTTTGCTTACTGTTTGGCTAGCAGAAGGACACTGTCAGTTGAGTTCCTCACTTTATGGAAAATTCTGCAAATTTTCCTCACAAAATAGTCAATCAGCCCTGGGAAGTGGAGGTGTCTGTAGATGAAAGCACATACCATAGCAGCTTTCTGCTGGTAGTCAGCATGGCCACTAGCTTTGAGAAAGACTGTGTTTAAAACACACTGTTTGCTGCTCAATAGAAAATGGCAATTTGAGACCCCTGAGGGCACTCTAAAGTTGCTTTGGAAACCTGGGACATGTGCAAAACTGAAACATTGTAGTCTAGACTAAGCTGCACATTGCCTACACTGGGGTCTTACTAGCCACCTTCGAGCCACACAACCTTTGCACACATCTTACAACGGGGCTCTTTAGTACTTCTCTAACAGTACCTCTTGACAGAAGCAGGCAATCCTCAGGCAGCCTCTTGGAAACTGAAGTCTTCAGGCAGCCAAAGCCCCTCCAAGACACCTGATAGTCTGTCATCCCTAGACATAAGGACAGTCCAGAGCCTGAGAGGCTCACATTAAAAACAACTCTAATTATTCACCAAAGCACCAAGAAGTCTCTGAAAGGTCTGTTCTGGGGATACTTGCTGCCAAGACCCATGTGAACCATGATGCATTTTCTTATGTTGCCTCCAATGTGATGTCCTACACCACAAATAAAATTACTACATCTCAAAATTGGGAGAGTGCATAACAGGAAAGAACAGCAGCAATTCATCAACTTTCTTGCTTCTCTTTGTGAAGCCATGGGAGAATTTGCCAGTCTCTGGTATCATTTCATTTCACATGACATGCCAGATAGCACAGCAATGGGAGGGACAGAAACAAGTTCCATATTCCTTTCACGAGCAGGCGAATCACTGTTCACGAGAATCACCGTTAAAATGTTTATGAAGGTTTTAAGGCTGTTTCTGGGATTTACAGGGCTCACATTTAGGACTGAAGACGGGTACAACTGCTTTCTGAGTCAGCTTCAACAGAGTCACAGAACTGTTAAAATCCACTGGGCAATCACACTGTTGCTTCAGATAGGACTGGATGTCAAGGAGCAGTAAAAGAGGTAGATATGAGCAGTGCTAGCTCAAAAACTGTCCTGGTATCATCATTTTGCAAGCACTGGTTGTTGTCTTTAATTCCAAATTCTTACCCCAAATATTACTGCTCACTTAAAAAAGATGGCTCCTTGAGGCAATATACACATCCACTGGTTCAGTAAAGTGATGTTTTAACTATTTTGAGATTAAATCAAGATTATTAAATGTCAAAACACTGAAGTATCAAAATTCCTATTAAGTTAAAAAAAAGTCATATTGTGGTTTTGTATCATGTGTAAGCCAATTTATAGAGAGGAAAGGATGTTAGCATCTTCTGGCTAAATATAAGATGTAGCCAGCAATGTAAAAGGAAGAAGAAAAATTAGAAACCTTTTCCCTCTGACTCACTTTACATTATACAGAGGAGTCTGGCAGTCCCTCTCCTTTTTATCTCTTTATGTTTAGACAATCAGAAATGTGTGTGACCCAGTCAAAAAGACCATACAACAGGCTGCAAAAATCATGTCTCATGGAAGGGTTTGTCCCGGTTATTAATCATTTCAGGAAAGGTTTTAAATTTTACAAGGAATTTTGTCAGACAGCTCATCGACTCCTGATGCATCTGACCTTCTTTCACACTAGGGCACAGTACCAACTCTTGTTCAGATTCATATTCTCTGATTCAGAATGAGCAGACAGAATTAAATGGTGCGATGCCAAAAGAAATATCTGTAATTTCCCCTGATTTTTAAGAAGAGGTACCAGGACTTAGTACCCTTAAAGGGTAATTTTAAAGGAAGAATCACAGGCAAAAGATGAAGAGAGGCAGACATGGAAGATGTACAAGAAGTGTTAGTTAAAACATGTAATGAGAAAACTTAGTCCTAACAATATTCACCTAGAGCTTGCAGCATTACTACTAAGCTGCCAAAAGTCAGTACAGGACATGTTTACTTATCTATTAAAAAAGTTAGATGTGCATAAAAAAGAAAGCATTGAGATTCTCCTAGGATTTCTTACAACATTCCATGTTCTATGTATTTCTATATCTGTTCCTCCCAACCAGTCTCTCCTATTCAGACAGGGGAGTCAGAACCCCACAGTTTTGAAACTTACTTGTCTCTTACATGTCTCTGGATGAATTTCAGGAGGTGGACATGGATAAAATTGAGTGGGGAAAAAAAAGGAAAAGAAAAAGAAAGGAAAAAAAAAAGAAAGCTCTGTAGCAGAGCCTGATGAAAAACATCTTCTAACATTTCCAAATTATGATCTGGGATTCAAGCAGAGTTTG